CTCTGACAATAACATAAAGATTCCATTATTTGTATACTTCACTTTAATTTATCAAAAGGTGTTAAAGGGACCCAGTTTGCATACTCAGTCCCCCGATACCGGTTCCTTTTTTATGGATTTATAGTTTTGACAATATCAAATATAGTAAAAAATTGTCCAAATTTATGATAGTATATAAATCATAATATATATACTTATGAAAAGCAGTGAAATTTCTATTTATTGACATAATATGACCCAGTAAAACCAAAAATTAAACCCAAATACAATTGAAATATCCAAACTATTAATTAATTATAATTAACTAACACCATTTAAGGTCTTATTAAAAGAATTTTCATTACTCTATGTGGTTTATTAAAAAAGTTATGGTTGTTTCCCTATACAGCATATTAAATATGTGGTAAATAGTCAATTTAACAATAAACAATAATCAAAATTTCACCAACTTAAACTCCCCCAAAAAGTAAAGTTCTTTATTTACAAATGCCACATCACTATAATAATTAAGAGCAATCTTTTTAATGAGACAATAAAGAAAATTCCATCAAAATTCATTAAATTTTAAAGAAGATATGGCCAATTACCTATGACACATAAACTAATATGTTAAATCACTAAATTTCAGATAATAGTACAAGGGAAGCAACTCAAACTTGGATTAATGAAGTATATTTTCTCAATTTGCTGCTGATATAATTAATAATGGCCATAATAAGATCAAATGGTTATAATATGATCTATATAGGATATAAATATGTAATTTTAACAAGTTTTTAAGATAATATTTGATAATAGGATAGGAGGAAATAAGAAATTATAGCTAGAAAAAGGTAAATTTCTTGGTATAAGTAGGAGTTGTCCTACCCAATACTTGAATTTTTGGGTTATTATTGGTTTACCTCTATAATCATACTTAGTTCAACTATTAAGCGAAACATATGAAATGTAACACAAATGAATTTAAAAGAAATAATGGCAAAGTGTCCCCAATTACTGTAATAAATGAAATTATATACATAGAAACATAATAAATATAAACCTGTCAGATGGGGAAACCAACATTGTACATGAAAATACTGAAATCTATTTACATCTTTTACCAACCTGGTGCCCAGAGTAGAATTTAAATGTAAAATAAAATATTTCAATTAGATTTTGATAGGACAGATAGGGGCGGCTGAACTGAGCGTTGTGGACAGCCGTACCTCAGGGAAACTGACCCAATGCTGTCCTAATTAAATATTCAACTGTTTTCCAATATAGTAGAAATACACATAGTATGTTGGTAATTGGTATTAGTTTAATACCTATTCTAATGGTGCTATTTTAAGGTAATTTGTGGTTTGTCCTTCCTTGAGGTACATTATTTCCTCCATGAATAGCTTAATTGGTATTGTTCTTATTTTCATCTAATTATCATTTGGCTCCAAGAGAGCCAGGTTTTATTAATGTAGAATCATGTATATCCATATAGGTGTATAAATTTTCCAATTACCTGCCAATGGCGTGTTGCCATCATTACTTGTATTGTTTATTTTGGTTATATTCTTTGATAATAGCTATGAGCTCCATTAAATATTAATTTTTAAAAAGTTGTAATAGTGTACAGTCAGACACTTTTATTGTACATAATCTATTGTATTTCTTTTTATTTACATGTAATTAAATTTTTAAAAGTGGTTCCTAAAAAGTGGCCGTTAAACGGTGAGACAACTATATAGTTGCTTATTTATTTACATTTTAATACATTTAATACATATTTCTTAAAATACTGACTGTACAACTATCACTTATTTTTATTGTCCCTGGAACATGATCAATCAAAATTGCGATGTGGCTACATGATACCTACAATGTCACATTAAAGACTCCATTTTATACCTCTTTATCTATATTTTAATCCCTTGTAAATAATAAACAGCTGGTCATGTTTGAAATATATAATATATAATATATCTTCTTAATTTTTATTCATTCTTATATAGGGTACAATCCTATAAGCATACTTATATGTTAAAATTGAGCCCTATTCAATAATTAGGAGCAAAGGCTATATAGGTGCTCAATCAAGTATGAAGTCTTTCTTTTATGTAGTAATTAAGAGAGGACTTTATCACATTAAGGATGTCCTATCTCTATTTCAAAACTAGCATAAACAAGTTCCCCTATGGCTACAATGCTGTTCTTTTTTCTTAAAAGACAACCTTAATTTAGCAAAGACTCCATATCAATTGTACCCATATAAACAAATACTTTTATAAAACAGTTTATACTGTGATCTACCTCAATGACAAAAATGGATGCATACGTTTAGATTCATTGAGTAAGAAACAAGTATGACGCAGCTTTTTTCTTCTCTAAAAGGCAGTTACTTCATCACCAAGATTGTAGTAAACCAAGCAAGTTTATTTAATAGCCATTTTAGGGAGAATTTTTCCTTATCTCTCTATATTTCTTTTTGTAATAGGTTTCTATAGAGAGTCTAGAAGTAACGAATATAATTATGATATATCATTGTTATCTTATAAGATCATGTACCAATTGTATCAGTACTATTCCCCTCCTGTTGTTTTAAATATTTTAAACAGCGGTGTCGTGGTTTCTCCAACAGGACACCGTGTTACTATTTTTAGCATTATATGGGAGACGGTGCAGAAATGTCAAACAGAGACCACGTGGTCTAGACCACAAAATACTTCGAAGCTACAGCCTCAAAAATCGCGATAGTAAAATGACCCAATGAAATCTGGTTACTATCAACCAATCATATTCTTATCGCCTAATTAGCCACTAGCAAATCACACCATTTTCGGCCAATCCAAATTTTACCCCCTACTAAACGTGGTTCGGCGCTATCTGTCAAAATCGTTTCTGCACTGTGTCTCCCTACGAAAAGTAAATTCATTAAATGATGGCCAATTGTAAAAAAAACTATGTTCTCGGGGTGTTCTAAGGTTTATACTTATTTAAACCTTCTCATGTGCTAAATAAAGTTTTATAAAAACTAAGATATACAAATCTAACTGTGTTGGTCTGTTATAGAAGGCGTACGCGTATAAGCGTCTTCCCCCCTTTTAATATTTGTTTAACATTATAAATATGATTTGCAATAACATGAAGCTATCATTAAACATAATTATTAGGTGGTTTTTTTTGTTCCCTATATAGAAGACGTCCGCGTATAAGCGTCTTCCCCCCTTTTTAATTTAAGTTTAAAATTTTAAATACAGCTTTTTTAATCTTTAGTGTGGGATGTAATCCCACCGTTTACCGGCCCCATTCAGTGCAATTATTTTGCATGGTTGGGGCAGGAAATATTGTACTCACTAGTCACATATGCAGATATTAACTAAATAAAGTGTTTTCCCTTTAATAAATGAAGCATATGCTCGCCCATATGGTTTTTAACCGGTGGCGAGGGTAAATAAACTCAACACACACACACACACAGGACTGAAACAAGGTCGGATAAGACAGGGAGTCGTTGAAATCAGGGGGTCGCTAAGGCAGTCTTGACTGTATATAGTAAAAACTTTAAAAATCTTCTTTTAAAAAACCTTAAGAGCTAGAGCTATGATATTAAGCATGAAAAATCTTCTTATGGTTGTCTACCATTTTTGTTCAAATAAGGGCCCTTGGGTTAAATTTGGACCCGCCCCGGGATCATTGATTTTCCTTATATGTATATAGTAAAAACTTAAAAAATCTTTTTTTTAAAAAACCCAAAGAGCTAGAGTTTAGATATTAAGCATAAACTATCTTCTAGTGAGTGACTACCAAGTTTGTTCAAGTAAAAGCCCTGGGGACATAATTAGCCCCGCCCAGAGGGGGGGGGGAGTCATTGTTTTTCCATACATGTGTATAGTAAAATTTTTAAAAAAATCTTCTTACAGCTAGAGCTTAGATATTTATCATGAAACATCTTCAAATGGGTGTCTACCAAGTTTGTCCAAATAAAAGCCCCTGGGTTAAAATTGGCCCGCCCCGGGGGCCTGTATACAGGTGAGCGATTTCAGGGCCATCAATGATCATGGCCCTCTTGTTCAGTTATTTGTCGCCTATTACAACTTCAGAATATTTTTTACCCTTCTGTTACTTTTGGTTTTCAATTCTATTCAGTATTTGGAATTTTTATGGGACTAGGGAATTTTAAGGACCAAAGTGGGGAAAAAAAGAGAAGCTGGTTTGGTTGGGGAAGTGGCAAATATTTTTCTTCAAAGAAGGGTTACATGTTGGCTCTGTAAAACTTGTGCTGTCAGATTCTTTTTAATTAAATAGCCAATGGTGATGGAGATGCCACACCAGTCAAGAAGAAAAAAGTGGAGGAGGTCAGCCTGGCATTTCGCTGGGAATATGAAGGTGACAAGAGACCCTGGGACACAGTACAGTAGTGCCATTGGATAGCCCTTTACAGATCTTACAACGAACTAAAAAGAAACAGTACAGAATGAGGCTATGTTTCAGAGGTGTTTACTATAGTTTATACAGAACTTATTGTTTAGTTTGATTGTGTAGGAAGCTAAGCTTGTAGGCACCGTGCTCCTGGAACCAACCAGTAATGAACATTGAATGTATGTTAAGTTTCATGCTCAAAGAAACAACAGCTTGCGCCTCATGGGTTTTGAATCAGCATAGGGTCAACTTGACCCTATACCAACTCAGCACGGTCAACTCTGTCCTATAATTAAAACATATATAGATTCTTCAGTTAAATTTTTTTTTATGATTGAATAATTCGAGAAATGTAAAATTATTCTGAGTTACGATCACTAACAAATATTTGATAGCCTTTGTATTCATATTTTACAAGTAATTTTAAGGGATTCCCTTTTCAATGAAAATCAACCACATACGAACCTTCATGCAAACTGATGGGCAATCTTATGCTTCTGGTAAGTCAGAAATCCACGAAGATATTATTTGGTATGAGATTAATCAATGATGCATATCTTTATAACTTTCAAGCTACCAACATTATGAATATGAATTTTAGGTTGATTTTGAACTGAGTAATGGAATCAAGATGGCTGTTAACTTTGAAAAGAATGTGCAGAAAAATAAGAAAACGGGCTGGGAAAGACCTATCCGAATAGCTGTGAAAGATGATTCTGATACTTGTAAGTTTCACTTGATTTAAATGTTATTTGAGACTTCAATACTCCACAGTTTTAAAAGGACTAGTAGCATTTTTTTTAAACAAATACATGTACATGTAATATGTATTCGGTGTTTAGGATAGATGCTAGAGATATTCATTTTCTGAATAAAATCTTAAGTGCAAGTATGATTCACAATGAGTTATCATTTTCTGTTGGAAAAATGGTTATGCCCTTGGTGAAACAGTATTCACAAATGTCAGTGTACTAGTTGAGTGTGCTTATTTTATATATATGTGAACTATGCATGGTGGCTTTTACCCTTTAAGTGTACTATATGACTATAGATATTTATAATTTTAGCATATTGAATGGCTATATTTACTATTTCAGTGTACTATGTGTGGCAATGGGAAGACGAGAAAGGAAACATGAATCCTTACGGTGTGAAGAATACACTTGAGCTAGAGACTGCTCATAAACAAATGAAAGATAGTGTGACAATAGAGGCATGTAGTAGATCATACAGTGTTGATATACAGAACATGGAACAGAAAAATACTGTCACTGATGTCTCAAGGAAGGTCTTTAGAGAACAGTCAAGTAGGTTTTGGTGTATACAGAATTTATTTCAGTTCGAATGTGTAGGAAGCTATAAGCTTAAAGACTTGGCATCCGTTCCTGGAACCAACCAGTACTGAGCAATAAGTGTAAAATTTCTTGCTCATGGAAAACAATGACTTGACCTTGACGGGGTTTGAACCTGAGCGACTAGCAATCATTAGATAACTAGTCAGATGTGTTAACCACTAGGCCATGCCGCCACAGTAGGTTTTCTGGATTATAGTTGAAGATCTTTGTTTTATAAAGCTCATTTTGATTTATTCTATATCATTTTATTTATAGATATATCAATTTTATGGTATATGAATCAATATTGCATAGGTTGTTATTGATATACTATATAATATTAAAGTTGTCAACATCAGAAAATCAGTTGAGTTAAGGGTGATTTGTAATAAAAAAAAACAAGAACAGAATACAAACCTGTAGGAAAATTATCTGGTTGGCCTGTTCATCCACACAATTATGACTGAAGGAAATTTTTTGTTATAAATAAAGCAAGTTCATAATATACAATTATTGACTAGTGAGCCATTGAATATGATGTGATATTCACCGGCAGATGACATATTGACCGAGGCGATAGCCGAGGTCAATATGACTTTCTGCCGGTGAATATCACATCATATTCAATGGCTCACTAGTCAATAATTGTTTTATTATATGAATAGGCTAGGAAATAAAAAAATCACAAACAGTACAACCTTATATATACATGTACAAATTTTGCCTCGTTGAAGCGCGGGAAAAAAGACGCACGTGTTAGGCGTGCAACGACTTCGCGAACGCTGCGCATACAAAAGTAATTCAAGTTTATACTCATCATTGCGGTGTAGCTTTTAAGTAAAATGGTAATGTATTTATATTTTAATGAAATATGCCACAAAGAACAAAAAGCAACAATTATTTTTTAAGTAACACGCGTATTTAACAGTATACGGTGTATGACAGCTATATTTAGATCATATAATAATGAAACTTAAATTTAAAGAAGTTTTATTTTTCATTCTATACTAGAATACGATTTTAATAATTTGTTTCTCAACTGCAACTGTTTAAATAAAAATATCAGTTTTCTTAATTTCTTTCCCAATTATGATAAATATGCCATATTGATATGCAAGAAATAGAATCAAACACTGACTGTCTTAACAGACCATTAAAATATCTAGCTCTGGGGTATTTGCTTAGCAGAAACTCGGCAAAACCTTGTTACGGCCATAAACTGTTACCCTCAAGCTAAATATTCCCATCTGTATGGTAGCAGATTCTTATAGGGTATTCTTACTATAATTTATAAATATTTTAAAGATGCAATAAAAGCAGATCCTGGTGCCCCAGAGCCAGTTGCTACAACTTCTAGTGCCGACACTCCTAAGAAGGCTACAAAAGGATCAACTGGAGCAGGTAAATCAGGTGGGAAAGTGAAAGCCGAGCCTGATGATGAAGTGGAAACGAAAGCAGCAAAATCTGGTGGCGGAAAATCTGGCAGTAAAACGAAATCTGGAGCGAAGGAGAGGCCTGCGGGTAATATTCTCTTTCATTATTACGCTGCATGCTATTTTTAAATGCCATTTGTCTTTTCTTCTGCCTCACCACATGCTTACCTTTTCCGAAGTAAGTTTTCAAGTAATATCAAAGATACTAAACAAATACAGTTAATAATCAATATATCCAAATATCTTTTCCATTTTCCACCGTAAAACACTTAATTTTGCATATGTTAACTTCTCGCATTTGAAAAAAGCTGCCATTTTTGGAGCCTCGTTTTTCATTTTTTTCCTTTTGAGTATATCTAAGATATGTATGATGATGGTACCTTTTAATTTCAGTGAAGTCGATTGTGTTGTCTGGTAAGGCACCTGTCGATGCAGAGTGTACTTCATTGGTTGGAAAAGCTCATGTATACTATGAGGGGAAAGATGTGTATGATTGTATGTTGAATCAGGTATGGATGAATGAATAAATTTCCCACAACTGCATGTCTGACAAAGTTTACAATGAAATAAATTTTCCTTGTTTTATGTATTTTTGAATTGATTACAGACATTTTGGCTGACCATTGAGCACATGCCTTTCAAACAAGGTAAACATCATCTCTTATTATTCCAGATTGAAACTAGCTTAAATAATGTTTTGATGGTATATATAATTAGATTATGATGTTGTGTTAGCCAATGAAAATCTTCATTACAAATATGCAGTTTTATAAAAGATATCAAATAATGTACAGATGAGAATTTCTTGTCAGAAAATTTTCTTTTAGCACTTTAAAACCTTTGTATATATTTCAGACAAATGTCTCGAACAACAACAACAAGTATTTCATCATACAGCTGTTGGAAGCAGATGACAAGAAGATGTATTACACATGGTTCAGGTGGGGTAGAGTTGGCTATTCCGGCAGTAACAATCTTATACCATGTGGTGCGAGCCTTGACGCTGCCAAAAAACACTTCTTTAAAAAGTAAGAATGTTTATAATATTTGGAAGAGAATGATTGGTTGCAGTTTGCAGTCTATATTGGAAAATAAAACATTGTCTGGTACAAAATACAAACAAAACGTGAGTATGTGTATGTAACCAAAGTGGTCGGACACATTCAGGTCAATTCATATATAGTGTGATTAACCTGCACAGGCAATTAGAGCAAAACAATTGGAACATGAAATTTAAAAGAGACAATGCATTTTACTCAATTCTTGGCCCATAACTGATAGTGTTAAAAATTGCCTATTCTTAAACATGTCACATCTGTTCACATAAACCACGGGGCAGGAGTATAATAATCCCATTTAATAAAAAAGGATATTACATTTGAGCCGTGTCATGACAAAACCAACATAATGCGTTTGCGATCAGCATGGATCCAGACCAGCCTGCGCTTCCGCGCAGTCTGATCAGGATCCATGCTATTCCCTATCAGTTTCTCTACTTGTTATAGAGTTGATAAGCGAACAGCATTGATCCTGATCAGACTGCGCGGATGCGCAGGCTGGTCTGGATCCATGCTGGTCGCAGACCCATTATATAGGTTTTGTCATGACATGGCTCATTTGTGTAATAATACTTTGGCATGACAGCATTTGTGTTATATACAAACATTACGTTAAAGGGTGCTAAACTAAGAATAACACTATAGGCACATCAACGAAAAATGACATTGGTTAACTGAAAACCATTCTTATTTTAGATAAGTTTAGTCATTTGTGATATAAAGAAACATATAGTGTTATATATCAATTTCTTTTCTCTGTTTATCATGTACTTGTCAAGAACTGCAACTCCACAACAAGAAGTTTTCAGAAATCCATTGAAAAAAAATATTAATACATGTACCACTTCAGTTACAGGTCAAACAATTTTAAGAAATAAAAGAAAATAATTTGTTGGTTTTTGAGGAATAGATATGTTACTTTTTAGCTCGACTATTCGATAAGAATAAGTAGAGCTATTGTAGTCACCCGAGCGTCGGCGTCGGCGTAACCACTTATGTTAAAGTTTTTGTAATAGTTCAAATATTTTCAAAGTCCATTGACATATGGCTTTGAAACTTTGCACACTTGTTCACCATCATGACCCCAACCTGTAGACAGGAGGAGGTAACTCTATCAAGCATTTTGACAGAATTATGCCCCTTTTTCGACTTAGAATTTACGTTAAAGTTTTTGTAATAGTTCAAATATTTTCAAAGTCCATTGACATATGGCTTTGAAACTTTGCACACTTGTTCACCATCATGACCCCAACCTGTAGACAGGTGGAGGTAACTCTATCAAGCATTTTGACAGAATTATGCCCCTTTTTCGACTTAGAATTTATGTTAAAGTTTTTGTAATAGTTCAAATATTTTCAAAGTCCATTGACATATGGCTTTGAAACTTTGCACACTTGTTCACCATCATGACCCCAACCTGTAGACAGGAGGAGGTAACTCTATCAAGCATTTTGACAGAATTATGCCCCTTTTTCGACTTAGAATTTACGTTAAAGTTTTTGTAATAGTTCAAATATTTTCAAAGTCCATTGACATATGGCTTTGAAACTTTGCACACTTGTTCACCATCATGACCCCAACCTGTAGACAGGTGGAGGTAACTCTATCAAGCATTTTGACAGAATTATGCCCCTTTTTCGACTTAGAATTTATGTTAAAGTTTTTGTAATAGTTCAAATATTTTCAAAGTCCATTGACATATGGCTTTGAAACTTTGCACACTTGTTCACCATCATGACCCCAACCTGTAGACAGGAGGAGGTAACTCTATCAAGCATTTTGACAGAATTATGCCCCTTTTTCGACTTAGAATTTACGTTAAAGTTTTTGTAACAGTTCAAATATTTTCAAAGTCCATTGACATATGGCTTTGAAACTTTGCACACTTGTTCACCATCATGACCCCAACCTGTAGACAGGAGGAGGTAACTCTATCAAGCATTTTGACAGAATTATGCCCCTTTTTCGACTTAGAATTTACGTTAAAGTTTTTGTAATAGTTCAAATATTTTCAAAGTCCATTGACATATGGCTTTGAAACTTTGCACACTTGTTCACCATCATGACCCCAACCTGTAGACAGGAGGAGGTAACTCTATCAAGCATTTTGACAGAATTATGCCCCTTTTTCGACTTAGAATTATGTTAAAGTTTTTGTAATAGTTCAAATATTTTCAAAGTCCATTGACATATGGCTTTGAAACTTTGCACACTTGTTCACCATCATGACCCCAACCTGTAGACTGGATTAGGTAACTGTATCAAGCATTATTTTTTACTATCAAGCACTAGAATAGTCGAGCGTTGCTGTCCTACCGACAGCTCTTGTTCATGTTCAAAAAACATGGTTTTTCATTCTAGACTATATTTTTCTCAGGTTTAAAGATAAGACACTAAATGACTGGGCCAATAGGAAACATTTTGTGAAGCACCCGGGTAAATATGACCAGCTTGAAATGGACTATGGTGTGAAGGTTTGTGTTTGTGTGTATTTTATTTAAAGGTTAGGCTATTTAGGTATGGGTTGGGGCATTTTTGAAAATTTTGACTACTTTCCCTGTTTTGATAGAAAGAGACTTTGACATTTCCTATTTTTAGCTCGACTATTCGGTAAGAATAAGTAGAGCTATTGTAGTCACCCGAGCGTCGGCGTAACCACTTATGTTAAAGTTTTTGTAATATTTTTTAGCTCGACTATTCGATAAGAATAAGTAGAGCTATTGCAGTCACCCGAGCGTCGGCGTCACCACTTATGTTAAAGTTTTTGTAATAGTTCAAATATTTTCAAAGTCCATAGACATATGGCTTTGAAACTTTGCACACTTGTTCAACATCATGACCCCAACCTGTAAACAGGAGGAGGTAACTCTATCAAGCATTTTGACAGAATTATGCCCCTTTTTCGACTTAGAATTTACGTTAAAGTTTTTGTAATAGTTCAAATATTTTCAAAGTCCATTGACATATGGCTTTGAAACTTTGCACAATTGTTCACCATCATGACCCCAACCTGGAAACAGGTGGAGGTAACTCTATCAAGCATTTTGACAGAATTATGCCCCTTTTTCGACTTAGAATTTACGTTAAACTTTTTGTAATAGTTCAAATATTTTCAAAGTCCATTGACATATGGCTTTGAAACTTCGACACTTGTTTACCATCATGACCCCAACCTGTAAACAGGAGGAGGTAACTCTATCAAGCATTTTGACAGAATTATGCCCCTTTTTCGACTTAGAATTTACGTTAAAGTTTTTGTAATAGTTCAAATATTTTCAAAGTCCATTGACATATGGCTTTGAAACTTTGCACACTTGTTTACCATCATGACCCCAACCTGTAAACAGGAGGAGGTAACTCTATCAAGCATTTTGACAGAATTATGCCCCTTTTTCGACTTAGAATTTACGTTAAAGTTTTTGTAACAGTTCAAATATTTTCAAAGTCCATTGACATATGGCTTTGAAACTTTGCACACTTGTTCACCATCATAACCCCAACCTGTAAACAGGAGGAGGTAACTCTATCAAGCATTTTTTTTACTATCAAGCACTAAGAATAGTCGAGCGTTGCTGTCCTACCGACAGCTCTTGTTTTTTATTCTTGAATTATTTTTAGCTCGACTATTCGCAGAATAATCAAGCTAATGCAGTCACCCATTTGTCGGTGTCGGCATCCCTGTGGTTAAGTTTTTGTGTGTAAGCTGGTATCTCCATAACTACTGAAGGGAATGGATTGAAACTTCACACACTTGTTCTCTGTGATTATCTAACATGATTGGCACAAGTCCCATAACTCTGATTTGCTTTTTTGCATAATTATGCCCCTTTTTCGACTTAGAAATTCTTGGTTAAGTTTTTGCGTGCAAGCTGGTATCTCCATAACTACTGAAGGGAATGGATTGAAACTTCTCACACTTGTTCTCAGCGATAATCTAACGTGATTGGCACAAGTCCTATAACTCTGATTTGATTTTTTGCATAATTATGCCCCTTTTTTGACTTGGAAATTCTTGGTAAAGTTTTTGCTTGTAAGCTGGTATCACCATAACTACTGAAGGGTTTGTGGCTTTTTGGAACAATTTTATGCATTCATAATAATAAAGCAGTGATTAACTCGATAAAACATCTTAATAACAAGCCTTTGTACCTTTACGGACAATTTTATGGATACATAAAGCAGGGATCATTCTGGTCAGGATTTTTAGTGAGAGATTTTCTCTCATTTGAGAAATTTTAATGAGAGAAATTAGATTTTCTTGAGAGATTTAATTTTCATGATGGGCGAGGATAAAAATATTGAAATTTCTTTTTAAAATCACTGTACATATAAACATTGTTTATCTAATGAGGATACAGATGTAGCTCTGTTTATTACAGTGGTTTTGTTTTCACTTTATGGATTCATCCTATGCCTTTTCTTTTGTGAATTTTTAAACATAATAAAATTCTAATTGTGAAAAAAATAAATATAACACTTTCATTCTGAAATATAAAAGAAGTATACATGGATATCTGCTACAACTATTATTTGCAGCCAATGTTCCTAATGGACAACACTGTACTCTACAAAAGTGATTGTTGAGATTTGAAGAATATTTTTTAAAACCTTACATTTTTTTTTATGATTCTCTTCACACACCTCCCTCCATTAAAAAATATTCATTGAATATGTGACCTGAACACATAATGACAAATATCTCCATATCCACAAATATAAACAATACCTAAAGTAATTTTTATTCTTAAACATCATTTTAAGTGTTATAAAACACCTTTAAATAACACTCAGCTTCCTTTTAGTATTTATTTTTAATCACGACATCGCGAAAATATCTGACAAATGAATATTTGTCTGTTTTCCGCTGAAACCTTCACAATTCTAGCTGTTGCTGATTGCAATTATATAAAATTAAATATTTTTGTTCAATAAAAGAATATTTTTTATCGGCTACTTCATCAGGAATCGTAAAACAAAATTTTTAAATTTGTTCTTTACGGCAAAATTTACCGTGGTTGATGTGACATTAAGAAGATAAATTTTACCAGTATTTGTTTTTTGACATGTCCATTTTTATGTTAGTCTGTGTCGAACAATTTTTATTAAAATCAATTAAAAGTGTTTCGTGTAAATTTCCGACTTATGGATAGATAAAGGTTAGCCATCATACCGTATTTCTGTACGGTGAATTTGCGGTCTCCGAATCCGATCGGCAATTATTTTAGGCTAAATAATTCCAAGTGTTGGACTACTTTTTGGATTTTTTTTTACACCGATTTCATTAATAAAAAATTTGAAATTAAATTCTTGATGGGAATCGTAAATTTTTCATCATATTTTGTGTGATTTTAGCATTCTTTAGATTGTGATTAGACATTTTCCGGCTCAAATTGCTGTGCGAGATTTTCTCTCATTTCACAAATTTCTCTGAGATTTTGGTGATTTTTTTGCGAGAAATCGCGGAAATCGCCCCCTAGAATGATCCCTGATAAAGGTAAGCATTATTATACTCAATGAAACACACTTGTGACAACTTTTTGAATAGTCGAGCGTTACTGTCCTCCGACAGTTCTTGTTCTTAACATTGTGTAGGGAATAGGTACCTAATTTTTTATTAATCAATGTCATAACTATGAAAATTTTAATGATATTTATTGCTTATGTCAATGTTAAATGAAGAATGTTGCATAAATACTAAGTTTCATTCAGTAATTAAAATTTATTTTTAATACAGGATGCAGTTGATGCACCAGAATTAAAAAAGAAGAAAAGTGAAGGAAAAGTTCCTGATTCCAAACTTGACAAACGGTTACAGGTATGGTAATATGTTTTGCCAGAAAGTTGTACAGGACTGTTCTTTTACAGTCTGTTCTTCTTGTCACTTTTACTCAGTGGCTTTTTGCATTGATAAACTAACTAGCTTTATTTGGGTGTCCTTGACCGAGTGGCTAAGGTAGTTGACTTAACACCACGTGCCCCTCACTGCTGTAAGTGGGGATTCTTGCATGTGAGGAAGCTTTACAGCTAGCTAACAGAACGTTGGTTGTTCTATTCCGGTGCATGTTTTTACCTGAAATAATGCAAGGATAGGCACTTGAGGTCTTCCTCCACCAGTAAAGCTGGAAAGTTGCTTTTGACCTATAATGTGTTGGCGTGACAAAAAATCTGGCTTTATTTAAAGAGTGTAAAGCTGTTATTAACTAAAAACTGTAAAATTGGGTTTCATATGTTCATATCCTTTAAAGATCTAAACTTTTGAAAGATTTAAATAAGCTGCCCCAATTTTGGAGTGGTTGAGGTTGCTGACTTGGAACTTCTTGTTCTTGCCTTACTTCTGCTAATAGTTGGTGGTTCTACTCAGGTGCCAGCTTCTGCTTGAAATAATGCACCGTGCAACATCGGAGGTCTTCCTCCACCAGTTAAGCTTAAAAGTTGCCTTTTGAACTTAAAATCCCACCAACAAAACACTCCCACCCCCATTTAAGTGTGAATTTTTATTAAAAAGAAAGTGATAGGAAGTCATATCCAAAGTATATGAAATTGAAAGCTTGGCTTCATTGACAACAAGGGTTGTACCATGGTATTTGTTCATTGGCAGAATAGTTTGTGTTTTTTTTGGTCAATTGTTCTGTGACAATGTAACAGCTTACATGCATTCATTTATTTTAAAGTCACTGGTAGATTTGATCTGTGATGTAAAATCAATGGAAGAAGCTGTCATGGAAATGCAGTATGATGCCAAGAAAGCTCCTCTAGGTTAGTAATCAATAATAAGGAGTTAAATATACATATGTCTAGTAAATTCTGTAATATAGGCACCTCTTTAATGAATGCCCCTGCCCCATATTTCTTGATAGTGTTTGCATGCTACTAAAGTTCTTGTTTTTGGAAAATATGACATTTTAAGAAGGGCATTTAAAATGGATTTTAATTCATAGAATGCAACATTCCCAATTGCCATTGTATTGAAATGTGCTGCCTGATCGGGGATGCAAACAAAAATTACCAGTCCGATTCTGAACTGACTGAGCTTCCAGACCATGTACACAATGTTTGCCATATTTCAGATCCCAGATGGTAGCACATACATGTCATGTTTTATTAATGCAGGTAAACTAACAGCTGACCAGATAAAGGCCGGGTACAAGGCGCTGAAGAAGATAGATGCATGCATAGAGAAGAAAGATTTTGGTTCAACGTTAAACAACGCCTGTGATGAGTTTTATACTAGAATACCTCATGACTTTGGGTAACAGACTGTAGAATAATTAATTTAAGTTTTTTGTTAGAAAAAAAATCATCAATTCAAGACTATTTGTTCATAGTTTGAATGTTATTACATTGATATCTGTTGGTTTAATGTGAATTTTAAATAGACATACATTTGTAGTTAAATATATTTGAAAAAATTTTCTTGTTAGGTTATTTAGTATCTTTTTAAGAAACATATTTTTAAAGCAGCACACCTCCAGGTTTGTGCTTGTAAAGTCTGTTGTACTTTGCATAAATCACTGAATTTTTTCAACTGGATTGTAAATATTTATTTCTTAACCTAATAAAATAGTTTTCATAAGTTTGCTTATTTGAAAATTCATTTTTTTCTGATTTGAAAGAGTGCCAGTTATAAACCTTTGAATTGTTGTCTTTTTGGTTTAAACAAATTTTATTTCATAAGGTTTATGTCTTTTCTGAGAGTGTATAGTAGTTATTCACATCATCATTTGAAGAAATAATTGTCAGTGTCTTTTTGTCGACAAATACAGTATGGACAAAAAGCAAATGTTATATATGCAAGCATGGATAGTGATGGAGAAAATAGTTTATCATTATTTATCATTATTTGTGTACATGTATTTCTTTGTTTCAGTATGAAACCCCCTACAAAGATAAATACTAAAGAACAAGTAAAACAAAAAATAGCTTTGTTAGAGGTAAGCAACTTAAAAAAAAAGTGTTTTTATAAGTATATAAAGGGTATTGTGTTGCTTAAACGGGTATGGAATGTTTAGGCCCATCTTGAGAATGAAAAACACTGATAGCACTGTTGGTCAACTCATTATTTTGAACTAGAAAATTAATAAATTAATTGCAAGAGTTTTGATTTATACCTTTAAACTTTCATTTGCTTCACTGGAATATATTTAGTTGTTGTTATTTAGCTCATTGAAGCATAACACAAGTTCTTGTGACCATTCTTGTTTCTTCCTTAGAAAACATACAAGTATATAAATATGTTCGCTTTGAATCACGCCAAGGACTTTGTTATCTTTCATGTTATAAAGCTATCCAGGTAGCTTTCAGAGTGTCAGTGGTTCTACTCTGGTGCCCACTTGTGCTTAAAATAATACATGATGACTCGACTGAGGTCTATCATGTTATGTTTACTCATATGGCATCAGTACTGGTAAGTTTCATGAAGTGGACTGGAAAGTGAAAATTATATGTCACAAGAACTTAGTTTTGCAATCAAGCTAAAATAAATATGTTTAGACTTAACTAAACTTGAGGTTTTCCAATACCAGTTTAAATTGGAAGGGTTGAGGCTTAAGAATTGCAGCCACCGTTTATCCCTAAATGGGTCAGAATTGCTAGAGTCTTCTCTTACCTCCAGCAGATGAGTTGGTTTTGACCCCTGGTATTGCTTAAGCTTGTTACACTCAAGGTTAGCAGAAATCATCTTTCCCGTTTGAGAGTCATATGACCTTAATTGTGTTGGTTGGCCATATAACCAACCGAACAAACAAAAACTGGAAAGTCACCATATGAGCTACAGTGTCAGTGTTCCTTAATCTTGAACCAACAAATAAAATGAAACAAAAAAAGATATTACAGTCGACTCTCGTTATCTCGAAGTCATCGGGACCGTCCAAAAAATATCGAGATAACGAAATGTCGAGATAAACATATTAGGGTTTGAATAATGCAGAAACTGATCTTTACAAAAGACATGTGCATACCTTATGTCAAATAAACTATGATATCCCCATGTCTTGTTTTCATAGGCCTAGTCAATATTTAACAAAGTAACATAAGCAGATGTTTACCAGCGGAAATACGGGTGTCTGAGATAAAAACACATAGTGAGATTTACTCAGTAATACACCAAATGATTTGGTGATTGATCCGGATATCCTCCCTGCTTATTTATCGGGTCTTTCTCGAGATTGTTCGACCGCTGATTGATTTGGAGGTTTTGTTAAACAATATTGCTACGATAGCGTTTCTATACTTTCACTTTTCTATTTCATTTACATTTAAAGTCATTATGAATTGATACAGTGTTCGAATATTTATAAAGAACATCAAATTCACTCAATTTGGACATAAGTCAATCAACACCCTAATTATTAACTTTTATAATAACAGCTAAACTTGTTACAAACATAATCATCATTATGACACGCGCTATTTAGCAATTATCGTCTAGTTTGTGTTTTTCACACGTCTGAAGGGAACAGAAGAAAGAAAACTATTAGTCGAGATAAACAAAGGATAATAGTGTGAAAATAACTGTTTGGGCTAAAATTTTACATCGAGATACTGAAAATATCGAAATAAAAATATCGAGATAAACAAATATTTCCAATATAGATAAAGAAGGAAGGGAATCGGGACTTTCAAAATTTCATCGAGATAACGAAATATCGAGAAAAGCGATGTCGAGATAACGGTAGTTGACTGTAGTTATGAAACATTGATATATTTTGTGTTATGTATCTACAGGCACTTGTTGACATTGAGATTGCAATTAAGATGTTGAAGGAAGGAGATTACTCAGAGAATCCTGTAGATCGCCATTATCACTCATTAAAATGCGATATAGAACCATTAGATCACAAGTCAGAGGAATTTAAGGTAAAAATTTTACATACAATTATTGTAACACATGGATAAAAGTTTTCTTGAAACAGTCTCAATCCTGACAGTATCTGTTCATTTAAAAGTTTGATTTAGACATGTTTTACTATGTAGCTCACTGAATTTTAATATGTTTTTTTTCTGGTGACCATACATATACATGTATGTCTTCAGATAATTTTCTGAACCAGTTCTTAAAGCAGTGCTTGTATGTGAGTAACATAAACTGTCAGCTTATGGATAGTCCCAATATCGCTATGCTAATGTTTCTTGCTCATTCTTGGATCTGGAAAGCTATATATGTTAATGTTTGTTGATAGTATACCAAAATGCCTGCCTGTTCCGATAGATGGTTTTCTTATAGCAATTATTACCTCCCCTGGTTGCCAGTTTGTGGGTCATTTTCAATATATCATATGCTTAAGATACAAGTAAGGTATAAGTTTCTCTCATAATTTTATCACCTTCATGAAAACTGATAAAAAATGTTTATATATTGGTGGTGTAATGATATATACCTTCATATGTATCAAAGAATTTGACAGGTCACCTTAATTTTGCAATTTATATTGATTTTTTTTTCATATTTTGTCAATTATATTATATAGAATATTGACCCCAATAAATGGCTACCACTTCTGGCAAGGGAGGTAAATATTGTAAAAATTGGGAACTATCTATAATTATACAAAAAAATAGTCATCCATCAGTCTAGAAAGTAATCTTGTGACCTTGAAAGTGTGGGCATGATAACAGAAAAAAAAGAGAAATTGTAAAATTTTCCAACTACCATGATATTATAATTATTTTATGTTGTAATGTTCACAGCTTGTGGAGACATACCTACAAAATACTCATGCTAAGACACATAATCAGTACAAAATGAAACTCGTCGAAGTATTTGATGTGTCCAAACACGGTGAAAAAGAACATTTTAATGATGTCGGAAACAGGTATTATTCCTCAACAATTACTTATAGAAGATTGTAATTTTTTGTTATAAATTTTAGTTACATGTAAATTGTAATGTAATTGTTATGTCAAAAAGTTAGTTTAATGTGTTTAACTAACACTAACAATAAGGAAAAAAGATAAAAAGTATGAAGGCTGTAATAATTGGAAGGAAAATTATTTTTCATAAATATATACATATGAATGTTACTGATTTATCTTAGAAGATGGTAAGGAAGTTGTTGTTTTGCTTTGCTTGATATATATTTTAAACATTCTGATATTCAGTCCATTGTTGAATTGTATTTGATATATAATATATTGCTGTTGAATGGTATTAGATATATGATGTAGTGAATTTTTTTTTTTTTTAAGTTTGTTTTCTTAATTGGATTAAAAGTTTTCCGTTTTGGTCAGGATGCCTGCACACAAATGACATAATTTTTTATTAAATCATAAGTTGATCTGTAGACACTTAAAACTTCAGACTTTAGTTTGACTAGATTGTATGTTGGCTTAAACAACATTTTGACCATATCTTGGCATTCGGTCCACTTTGCCGGCTTTTCAGGATAACTAACTAATCAGTTATGACTTCCTTCACTGAAGGTGACAGACTTCTAACCTCACATGATACCTTAATCAGCTGGGAGAGACAAATAACTATTTGATTGAATATCAGTGATTTGATTGAATGTCAATGATTTGATTGAATGGCAGTGATTTGATTGAATGTCAGTGATTTGATTGAATGTCAGTGATTTGATTGGATGTCAGTGATTTGATTGAATTTTAGTAATGTTATTGAATGTCAGTGATTTAATTGAATGTCAATGATTTGATTGAATATTAGTAATTTTATTGAATGTCAGTGATTTAATGAATGTCAGTGATTTGATTTATTTTATTGAATGTCAGTGATTAGTTGTCACAGAGAAATCTGGCCTCACTCAAGGATCAAATCAGCGACCCAAGAATAACAAATCCACTGATTGTCCTCCCTATTTAGCTAAGATGAGAGAATATTCTTAGAGAAAGTCAAAGAGGTTGCATACGATCACAAAAACTTTTTAAAGCAGTTACCAGATTAAGAAGAGATCATGATTAAATAAATATTATTATTTTAGGCTTTTGTTATGGCATGGTTCACGACTTACAAACTGGGCAGGAATTTTGAGTCAAGGCCTCCGTATTGCTCCACCAGAGGCACCTGTCACTGGTTATATGGTAAGTTTCATAATTCTGAAATTCTTTAAAGTAACAGGAGACATCTGTATGTTAAAATTCTGGTGATTGCTAGTTATATTTAACAGTCTCAAGCTTTTTTAAACCAATATGTAGTTCTCTTCATGGAACTTACCATGCTCTGGTGTTATATCAGGAAACAGGTTTATCACCAAATTAAAACTTGGAACCCAATATTTGCGAGTTGAGAGGCCAACCACTAGGGCATGACTGCTTATTTATATCAAAAGAAAACCTCTAATTGTTCAGCCAAGAAGTAATTTCTCAATGGGAACATACACTTGTACCTTGATTATGTAAATGAAAATTCAACTAATTTTCTTCTTTTTTTCCAGTTTGGAAAGGGAGTGTATTTTGCTGACATGTCAAGTAAAAGTGCCAATTACTGTTTTGCAACAAGAGCCAAGAATACTGGATTAATGTTGCTTTGTGATGTAAGTACATGTTTATAAAACTATGCAAGTTACAAAAAATCTTGGAAGGTTAGTGTTTTGTAGGGGAGATGGTGCTAGAATATGTCTGAAAGATTGTCATAATAGTGTTAAACCCAAAACAAACAACATATTCTTACAATGCTTAAAGTTATTTAAGTAAAAGAAGGAAAGGTTTTCAAATCTTTGTTATGTATTTTGCTTGAATGTTGTTACTTTAATACAAAGACAGTTATTTATCAGATTACATATTTTAAATTAGTATCACTTTCTGAGTCGTGTTTGCACTTTAAAAATTTTGATTTTTCTACATGTCAGTAAAATATTTGGAATGTATAGTTACTCTACTGTGCATTTTTTGTTGTTTTAGGTTGCCCTTGGAAACACGAATGATCTCTTGGCTGCTGACTACAAAGCTGATAAACTTCCAGCAGGTAAACACAGTGTAAAAGGTGCTGGCAAAATAGCCCCTGATCCAAGTCACGTCACTAAAACGTAAGTGTAGTGTTTATTTTCATGCTTTTTTTTAAAATCATTTAGCAAAAAGTGACCTGTAAATCTTGTCTTTACATTGTTGATTTTGATACTTTTGCCGCTCAAATCTCACCTTGGAAGGTATTATTACAATTTGCATATATATCATGTTATGTTGATGAAGAAAATTAATACACAATAATTGGACATAAGTGATCTTCGGAAAAAAATGAAATACCTCCAAAAGGTCAAACCAACTTATATTTGGTTGGGTTTTACTTTGCACTAGGGATGGCAACGAGTAACCGGTTAACCGAGTACTCGATCGAACGTCCGAATATCGGTTAACAAAATTGATATTCGATCACTCGGAAAAAATATATAATTTATATTTTTACCATTAAGAAAAATTGGTGTGTCCAATTAGTTCAGAAATTCGGAGATATGCATGTATCTTCATTAAATACCTGTTAAATGTAATCAAAACATCCTTGCAGAGGTGCGAAAATGATAGGCGATCAACAGTTGACACGCGCACCTGTGTTGCTTATGTCATCCGGCTCTTATGATATTCAGTAACAGTTTGTAGCGGAAGTAACTATTTTGAAAATAACAAAAGGCCAATAAGGATAACTAGTATTTAGACACCTTTTTAAACTTTGTTGCCGCCGATCAGTCTATATTATTTCAAGATGCTATTGCATTCATTAAAACGTTGTAAAATATGATGTTGTTTAATTTGTCTCCCGTGCAGTCCTATTTATAGTTACGAATTCTATTAATTTAAATGGAAAACGAAAGTAGCATGCGGACGGTGTTGATATTATGAGATCATTGGAAATCATCCGAGTAACCGACTACTCGATCGGAAAAATGACCGAGTACTCGAGTATTGATTTTTGTATTTGTTGCCATCCCTACTTTGCACCAACACAGTTAAGGTGGAGGAATATGTTGGGTGCCCCTCCTTGCATTATTAGAACCACCAATGTTCCATAAAGTCTCTAGAAGGGAATTGAACCTACAAGGGTGTAGGGCAAGTGGTTTGAAGTCAATGACCTATACCATTAGGTATTTAAATTAGTGATACATATTTAACTTGAAGCCCAAAGCTTGATCCAAAGAAATTCAAACCTGAGTGTTTCACGTGTGTTTATACATATTATTAGTACATGAAGAAGAATTGCATATACATAGTAAACATTTTCATGATACTTAAATTTCAATCAATATTAGAGGTAAACTTTTGACAATTTTGTGTTTTTTTATTTTTAGACCGGATGGAGCAGTTGTGCCCTGGGGTAAGGCCAAAGATACAGGAGTTACCAACCCTAAAGGTTACACATTGAACTATAATGAGTTTATAGTCTATGATACCAGGCAGATTAAGATGAAATATCTTCTTAAAATAGACTTCAAATTCTAGATGAAAAAAAAAACACTTGTCAGAAGATTTTAAAAATAGGGAGTTTTTCTGTAGAAGATGAAAAATTGACATAAAGGACCAAGTTTGTGGACAGTTTTAGCAAATGTAGAAGTTCTTAGATCATGTGTAAAAAAATCTTAACATTTAACTTTTTAAAAAGTAGATGATTATATTAGTTGTTAATTTTACTAATACAAGATTTTGTTTTGATGTCAAAGTTTGTTTGTTTAAAGCTTAGGCTGTTTGTAGTATGTATAAGGGCAGCAAATTGTTAAGTCGTTACAAGGAGAGTAATTGCGATCATAATGATGTGATGCTGAAAAAATTTACGATAAACAAAGTGAGATAACTTCAGATTAGTCATTTTCCTTGGTTATGTGATGTTGTTAAAATTAACAATAATTATGATAAACTGAGGTAAGTCAGATAAGGAGTGTTGATGTGCCACAAAGTTCAATTTAGTTTTGATACTGTATCTGTATTTTTTCTATGTTAAGTTAAATGGTTGTGATGTAGTTTTTTTCCCATTAGCATTTGCATTTGTTTCTGCATTTGTGTACACATCTTTTGGTAGGAGCACATAGTAATGTGGTAGTATTAATGTTGAAGGTGATTTAGAGCTGCATTAATGAAACCCATAATACTCGTTCTAACATTAGAAAACGTTCCAAATTCATAGCAGTTCAAATCAGTTACATAAAATCAGCAGGATAAGGGTTGGTTGGAAATTTATAAACATCATTCTTTCAGTTTAGTTAGTGTTGTAATTAGATGTTTTTATTGATATCCAAAACACAGTCACTTTCTGCCTATAGTACAATATAGCTTTGTACCCCTCTGTTATTATGATAACATTTTCCTTAAAGGGACTTCATTGCAGTTTTTTTCACATGACGGGACTGGATATAATTTAGCCAGATTAATGTTCCATTTCATGAAGGTCTAGATCAGTAACTTGTGTGCAAAATTTCAGCTCATTCGCTCATTCTGTTTTTCCAGAGTAATATTAATTCTAATTGTGAAAAATGATCTAAAATTGAAAAGCAATGCAATGCTTTTCCCCTCAAATCGGACCGAGAACAAAAATACTATATTCAGTATATTTCTGAGTATATTTCTTAATAACCTTTTACAAATATTTCTGTTTTAAGTGTCCCTGCTGATAAATGTAAGAAATTCAAATTTTATGTTTTTAGACGTTTGAACCTGAGTGGAGTTCCTTTAATACTTGGATCTGGGATAATAGATAACATTTCATCTGTTTCACATTTTGTTAGGCTTTTTTTTCTCTGTTAAGAATTTCATTTTGTATTAATTTCATTTTGCAAGTTTAAATCTTTGATTTAACTTCTTGATATTAATAAAACTCTTGAAAACAGTATGTGTTATTTTTTAAGCAGAGGTGAGGTACTTAGAAAAATGAATAAAAATCATAAACTATGATACATTGTACTTAAATATTCAGTCTGTAGCTTTAGACTGTAGCATTTCAAATGTTGAACAAATCATCCAGTTATCAGTGGTTCTACTTGGATGCCCACACAAATATCTTAAAAAATGCACAGAGGTGCACCTTAGGTCTTCATTACTCAAGCTGGAAAGTTGCCATATGACCTTTAATAAAGTCGGTGTGACTTAAAACAAACACACATTTGGTCCTAAATTGGTCCAGCTCGGGGGGTTATTTATTTATTAATTTATTTATTTGTGTTTGATTATTGTTGCCTATATTTCCATCTGAAATTCAATTTTTTTTGTCCTTTTAGTAATCTAGTTCATCTAGTTTCTTGAAATAGAAATTACAAAATGTATACCTACCTAGAAATGGGAAAACAATGTGCTTTAATAAAGTTTATTAAAAAACAACTAAAAACTAATATTAGTCATGCTCCTTCAATATTTGCCTGGCGCTGGGGTCATTTGATTAATATAGATGTCTATAGGAAAATTCATTTTAAGTTTTATTTTGTGAAACTACAATGCACCGAGCTTAGGTATTTGGCATGTAGCATTGCTTAGTTGACCTCTACAAAAGTTTCATAAATCAAGACACTGAGGTGAAAATTAGCCCCACCCCAGTAATTATTTTCTAGTCCATTTTACTTGAATACCACCCAACTCGTGCAAAGGATGTGTAGATTTATATGATGCACAGTTAGTTGTTGCAGATTTCTCATTGTTAGGAAATATTAACATTAAATGCATCATTTGCTATGATATAAAGTTAATTTCAGTAACTCAAAATGGTCTGATTTTACAGTAAAGTTCCGTCTTTAACAACTTATCAGCATAAAAATGTCTACGAATTAAAGGTCATATATATACAAACTCCACAGCCAAAGCTCAAACTGTGTTTATTTATCAGTGACCATAATCGAATTTGTTAAATATATTCTAAAATGTACGTAAGAGTGAAAATAGTAATCAAATTGTAACTGACTGACGATCATTTCGATCAGTTATTTAAAAATAACATTTAAAACATTTAAACTCTATATTTAATACAAGTATTGAGATATATGAGACATTGCCTCCCAATTGAACAGTTATTTTGAGTGTACCAATTGATATTATTCATAGAACACAGTACGGCTTTAGAAAAACGTCAATCAACTTAACTGGACTATTGAAGGGAGCGGTATTCCTTGATCTAATACAGGCATCACGAAATCCTTTTGTATAAACTTTTTGTAAAATTTTAATCCTTTATTTGAGCCCAATTGTACGTCAAATGGCGAAAGTTGAATATGTTCCGAAGCAAACCAATCTACTTCAAAAATACCATATTCATTTTGAAGTGTAACAAGAAAAATATTACATACATTCGTATGTAATATAGGTACGATTGCATACTACTTTTTGTGAAGACTTAAAGTTTGCTGCATAGAAGGTATAATGTAAAATGAACATGTCATGAGATATAGCAACGGACCTATTCCTGGTTTTTTTTGTGTAATGTGTATTTTATAACACTTGCAACAATCAATACCAAATGGTTCTATTGCATTTCTATAGTGCTAACAGGTTATAATACTGTTTAGAAGATACCATAATATTATAAAAAAGTGGAGATGAAAAGACCAGGGTTTTGAGGGCGAAACGTCCAGGGGTGAAACATCCAGGAGGTGTAAAGTCCAAACACCTAGAAGAACTAAACACAGTGTCCATTTATTATTCATTTATTATTTAATCTTATTCTGACAAACACTTACTGTGACAACAGACAACAGTTTAATACAACAGTAAATTAAATATGACTAAAGTGTAACAACATAAAAGGTAGTTGTACCAAATAAAGGACATCATTACACAAATACAACATAAAGGTAGCTAGCAACCGTGGAATTTTTTTTATTTTAAAAGTTTTCACATACAGCTAAAAAAGCAGCAGAGATAAATTAATTTTAAATAAAATTACAATGTCTATTATTTACTTTTAAAAAATCTTTCATTTAAGATATTACATACAGGTTCTGTACACTTGACTAGAGATAGAAAACCATGTTAATTTTAGCAGAAACTCAGTATTTTTGCCTGTATGTTATTGTTTGATCAAGTGTTAATTTCCATATAAGAACGTATAGACCGTATGGAGTTAATACAAAAGAATAACGCGGCAGACGGCAACCAACGCCACGGCGGGCGTCGTTCATTGACGTTACGTCACTTCCATTGTTTTGTTTGATATATTTGTATGTGAAATAAATGCTGCTGAAGAAGGCCGCAAGGCCGAAAGCTACGGCAAATTTAAATTAGCGTTTTTGCTTCTATACGGCAAGTTAGAGATTTTACTTTTATAAAACAACAACAAATATGAAGCAGACTACGGAAGCAGTGGAATTGAGCCGCACCTACGGAAATTAATAGAAAAAATAAATCGATATGATAGTCATAAACATTTTTTGAAGGAGTGCTTAGAAAAACAATTAGTGCCAAACGGTAGAATATATACTTTATCGTGCAACTTCACGATCACTTTTTGATATCAAATGGAAATTGGACTTTGACATAAATGGAGCGGAAAAATACTTAAAGCCTACGCCGACAGAATAATCCAGAATGGGCAAGTTTGGAATTAGAATAGTAAAAAAGAATGGAATTGTTTCTTCCGTTGTGTTTTGGCCTTTAAAAGAAAAATTTTGGGGGAATTTTTATCTTTAAACATAGAAAGTTGAAATAAGACAGTAGGGAAACTTAAAAATAAAGAGTTGTACTTTTTCAATTTGGGGTTGAAACCGTTTTTAAAAAGGGGTCCCTTTGGTAACCCGGGAAAATTCTAATTTTTGTTTAAATTTTTGGAAAACGGTTTGGGTTTTTTTAGGCTTTTGTTTAAACGGAATTTTTCGGGTGCGGCAATGTGTTTTTGGTATAACATAAAAAATGTGAATGTTTAAAAAAAGTTTTTAAAAAAATAATTGGCTTTAAAATTTTCCTTTTTGCCCCGGGGTGATTCATGAGAAGGTTATTATGTTATTTTTTTCAAACAGACAATAAATTTAAGTGAAATTTTTCCATTTTTCCTATGTTTCTGCCCAAAAAGCCCCCACAAAACCCGGGTTTAAAATGAAAAAATGGGGGCCCAAATGACTTAATTTTTATTCCCAAAACCCTTCAACCCGGGGTTAAAATTAAAGAGGAGGGAAACCCGGAAAACTTTAAAGAAATAAATTCCCAAATTTCCCGGGAAATTTTAAAATATTTGGGAAAAAAAGGAAAGCTGGGTTTTTTAAAATTTTCGAAAAACGCTGAGGTACGGGGAAAAAAGCCCATCCCCCTAATATTTAAAAGGATTGGGAAAAATTTTTACCGGCCCCCACGGGAGAAATTTTAAGATATTTAAGGCAAAGCTGAATAACTAATTTAAACCGTGGGGAAAAAAAGCCCCGGAAATGAGACTTTTTTAAAAATGGTATTTTCATGAACCCAAGGGGAAAACAGAAAAACGAAAAAACACAAAAAAAAGAATATTCAGAAAAAGAAGCAGGTTTTTTTAAGTGGAAACGCCAAGTGGCGGGTAGGGATTTAAAAAAAGGTTAAGACCCATAAAATCAAGGGAAAGTTTTAAAAGATTATATTAAATTTTAATTTTTGGCCCCCAAAAAAAAAAAAATTCAAACAAATTTAAAAAAAAAAACTTGAAGGGAACAAGCAATAAAAGACTTAAAAAATGATACTTTAGTTTTTAAAAGTCCGGGCGGTTTAAAGGGGGTTTTGGTAATTCCGGGTTTTATGGAAAACAGAGGAACTACAAAAGGTAAACTTCAAGGTGAGAATGACTACCAATGCCACTTATTTATTTTGGGGGGATGGGAAGAATTAAAAATAAGGAAAAACAAATTTAAACCAAAAATGAAAAAGAATTTAGAGATATGTTTCCAAAAAAAAAGGGGTTAAATTTCAAAAGAAAATTTAAAATGGGGTTTTTTTGACGTCGTCCCGGGTGGTTTAAAAAGGGTTTTAAACTTGAAAAAGGGTTTTAAACCGAACTTGGGCCATTAAAAGGGTGCCATTGGAGAAACAAAAATAAATTTGGGAAAAAAAATCAATCCCCGGAAAAAATGGCAAAAAAAATAGTAGAAATGGAGCCCCCGCCCAATTTTTTCTGGATCCCCCTTTTTTTCATATTAATAAAGCACAACTTTAAAAAATTTTTAAAAAATGAAAATTATTAAAAACAAACCAACTTTCCCGGCCCGGAAAATTCTTTTCTGTTTAATTTTAAAAGCCCGTACTCCCCAAGTGTTCCCCCGGGGCAAGCAAAAAATGCCCGGGTTTTCAATGCCCCTTAAACAACCGGCCAACCCCCAACAATTAACCCCCCCGAAGGAAATTTTTTTTTTCTAATAGTAGGAATTTCCTTTTCCTTTGAAAAAATAAAAAACTTTTTCCATTTTTGAAAAATTGAAAAATTCACGCAGTAAAAAGGAAGCAAGGCGATTGGTTCACGGTTTTGGGAAAAAAATTACGAATTCCTAAACTATTGATTTTTTGGATCATGGGAATTAAACCAGCCTTGGAAATTTTACGGAAAAAAAGAAAAAAACCTTTTCCGTTTGAGTTTTTTCCGGGGGGGGGAATTTTGATGACGGGTTGGGGGTTTGGGGCCCTTTACGGTATTTGAGGGGCTTAAAAGAATTCCCCTGAGCTTGGAAAAAAACGTTGCATGGAAAACCCAAAATAAAAAAATTTAAAATTAAGATATTTTTCCCAAAAACCTTGAGGGGTTTTGAAACCTATGACGGAAAAATTCCCGGAAAGGGCATGTTTTTTTTAAATTAAATCAAAAATCAGCTAAACCCCCAGAAAAAAACCCTGTAAATTCAATAAAAATTCCCCTTCCCATCCGGAATCGACAAAAATTTTAACAAAAAACCAAAAAAGGACTTGCCCTGTTGGGTGGGAAAAAAAAATTACTTTTTAAAATTTTAACGATTACAAACAAC